CACCCCAAATAGGTTTCAATCACCATTTTTTCCCATCTATTTCCAGATACTCTTCAACTGCCTTTGAACTCCATTCCCAATGTTCTTTCTGAACATCTTTTATTGGTGCTTTTATTCCCTTCATCATCTCCCACTGTCTCCAATTCTTCCTGTTCTTTTTGCACGTTTAGGGCCAACTGTTCCCCAATTCTTTTCTTGGGCTCCCCATGTCTCTCCTCAGTAGACCTCACCAGGTTGCTTCCATAGACTTGCTGAGTGTCTCCCCATCCCCCCTGCAGCGTTCTCCCCCCTCCCCTGCTGCCCCCTTCTGCTCCTTCTGGCTCCATGTGCCGCCCCCTGCTCACTTCCCCTCTAGCTGTAGACAGCAAGAGGTTGGCTAAAGCTGCTCATCAACCTTCAACGTGTCAGCACACAGTTGCTTGCCTCAATAAAGTTGAAGCAATTTCAACCCTTCTTTCCCTACCAGTGCCTCGTGATCTTAATCCTGCTGGGCTGCTTCCCGCTCCCTCCTCTGCAAGGCTCCAACTTCAGCAGACTGTGTCACCTCTCCTTTTCCATTTCTTTGTCCTTGTCCCTTCTCTAGGAGCTCCCAATATGTCTCACTAGCTAAAGTCTGCAATAGACTCCTACATGCTAGGCTTATAATGTAATTCATTGCCTCATTGCTTACTGTATGAGTAGAGTACATCTTACAATGTATTATCTCTGGAGGACAGGGGCCTGAAGTCAAGTTTTAACTTTGCTAATACATGGGGCTGACATCAAGAGCTAGAAAGGTATATGACACAAGGAATCATGAGGGCATGGGGTTTCAAGACAGAAACCCACCACTAAGCCCTTGTTTGAATAAAATGATTTATTTAACCTCTCTAAGCCTATGTAATCTCCACAACAAGGTACTCAAATTGTGATCACTTGTTCCAATTTTCTTTGTGGTCCAACAAACTACATTAAATTCAGTGGCATAAAACAACAACCATTTTACTATACATATGGGTTCTGTGGGTCAGGACTTTGGAAAGGACACAGTGGGGAAGCTTTTCTCTACTCCATTATATCTGGGGCTTCCATGAGGATGCCCAGTGGTTAAAGCTGAAACAGTGGGAGCTAGAAGATCTGCTTTCAAGACAACTTATTTATTTACATGTCTGGTGGCCTCTCCATGTGATCTGGGCTTCCTCACAAGGATGGCAGCCTCAGGGAGTCTGAGTTTCTTGAGAGAGACTGGAAGCTCCAAAATGTGATGATCCTATTCAATAAGGGAGAAGCTACATGACATTTTATGACCTAATTTTGGGAGTCATATAATGCCCCCTTCTACTGTATTCCACTGGTTGAAGCTTTCTCAGATTCAAGGGAGAAGAATTAGACTTGACCTCTAGATGGTAAAGTGGCAAGACCACACTGTAGAAGAACATGACAGATGAATGTTATTGTGGTGACCATCCCAGAAAAAGCAACATGACACATCCCTAAATCCCTTTCTAGTTCTAAAAACCTGCAAGCCTTATTTTGACTCTCAATAGATGCTCAATAAAAACTTAGCCTCTGCTCTCTAGAAGGAAATCTGAAAAATATGGGATGTAAACTTTTTATGCCTATAACATAGCAGGACGACAATGCAAAGCCATTCTTGTCAAGTATCAAGATGTGTGTCAGACTGAAGTCTCATAAATGTAACAGGCATCCTAACCAAAAGTGGTGTGTCATTAGAAGGGCTGACTCATCAAAGAGAGTATCACAGAGTAGAACTAAATTTACTGACCACTAATTGCTCGTGTTATCTCATTTAATCCTCACAGTAATCTGGAGATGTAAATATCATCAATACTCCGTGTTTTGCAGACCATGAAGCTGAGCCTCGAGGAAGTTAAGAAAATGGACCCAAAGTCCCGCTGCCAGGTGTACCAGTCTCCATGCCGCACGAGAGGATGTAACACTAGGTTGAACTGGTTTGAAGATGGGTTCTCAGTGCAAGATCTGCCATGATGGAGCACAAAAAAGAGCCAATTCTTAGCTCGGGGACAATATAAACAAACACAAGAAGCGGGAAGGAGCCACATAAACAAGAAGGGTAGTCACAAAGGTCGGGGATGTCAGGGGGCAATGCCTGGCCTCCCCAAAGAGAAAAGTTGCTACTGGATTGGATCAAAGCATAAGTTCTTCCCAGTGGGACAATGTCCACATGCAACAATGTTCATACAGTCTGAGATGACTTTACTTCAGCCTCAGGAAAGAAGATTTGCACGCCTTGGCATTTGCCGTTAGGAAGGATCCCAAGAATGCATGGTCCTGCCTAATCTTCTTGCTAATCACTTATGCCAATGAGGTATGAAGATCATCACCATGCAAATTACTACTGTGGTTTTGCATTTCATATTTACAAAATACTTTCTGATAATCTAGTGGCCACTAGTCTCTGTCCCCAAGAGAAGTAACAGCCAGTATGATTTTCATTTGCCAGATGAAGACATTGAGCATTAAAGTAAAGATGGGTATTAAAATTATAATTTCAAGTTTTTCATTAACTCCTTGGAGCCACACACTCTCCTACATCACTTCATTTTTTTAATTACTTTAAAATGTTGAGCACTCATGCGATTCTTTAAAATTTTATGACACCATGCATCTATTTCTGCCTTTGAGGTGTTTTTTTTTCTTTTCTTCTAGTTTTATTAAGAAACAACTGACATATATCACTGTCTGCCTCTGGTTTTAATTCTCTGTCATATTTTTAGGATTTCTGAAGCTACAGATGAAGAATACAAGGGGTTTGGAACAGAAGAGAGAACTAAGACAAAGACACAAACCCATTTTTCCTTTGTGATTCACTTTCATTCAGCGCATATTTTTTGACCATCATCTCTGAGGAGGACCTGCTAAGTCACTAGAGGGCAAACAACCCCAGGAGCAAGAAGGGGGAGCAAGAAAGTACTAGAGCCTGCAGGATGTTTAAGTTGCCAACCAGACTCTGCTATTTATTAAAGAAAGTGCCCTCCCAAATATCCATCAATTGGAGGACTAGTTGACTATACTATGGTACATCCACTCAATGGAATCCATGGTAAAAAGGATTAGGAAAGATTGATACATACTTTTCCAAGACATTTGCAGAATATATTGTTAGGTAAACAAAAGCAAAGTGAAAATCTGTGCACAGTATACCACATTTATGTGACAAGAAGGGCTGGGAAAGAAATCTATGTATACTCGTTTCCTCGTATTTTAAACAATAAACAATGGAAGAAAAAATAGTAAGATTGGTTGTAGGGTATGGGGAGGAAAGAAGTTCCCTTGCCCATTGACATAACAGCCAGAAGCTTGAGCTGGAAATCACAGGCTCCAGAAAGTTCTGACCTACTAACATTTCAACACCGGTCCTGAATGGGGCCCTAGAAGAGCGCTGGGTGTGTTTTTAGGCTGAGATAAGGGTTGGGGGACCCTCTAACTAGAACAGCTGCCACGCCTCTAGGCTGACCTATCTGCTTGGGCTGGTGACTCTCTTCCCTCCCTCCATAACACACATGTACCTTCTTAAGTGTGGGAGGAACACATTTCAGCCCATACTATATAAGTAACTATTCTTGGCTACAGCCACTTACCACATGGATTAAGGGCAGCCCCTCATTGCCTCTTAGATCTATAAAAAATGACCCGGCCTAGCTGAAGGAATCCCACCTTCAGCTGCAGTCCTTCCTCACTCAGGACCCAGACCTGCGGCCATAACAATGATAAATACAGGAACAACTAACTTGTATCGAGCACTCGGCTAAGACTTTCAAATACCTCATTGAATCTTCGCAGTAACCCTACAAGTATCTACTAATGTCACTCCTATTTTGCTGATGAGGAAAAATGAGGCCTCAGGGGTAAAGAATGTCACCAACGGGTGATAGAGGAGCATTTCAACCCCAGGCATCTTATAACCATGGTCTTAACCCCATGTCAGCCTGTCTTGCAGACTGAGACTCTGTAACCCTCTGCTCAGACAAGGGATGGCTGATCCAGAAAAATATCATCACTGAGTGAGGTGAAGTCAGAAGAATAATACACACGGTCTGTGTTCTCTAGGCCAAGGTAAACTATCCATGCAAACTAGAATAAGTCAACAACAGCACAAAATATCACACTACTGAACTAACCCCCAACTGTCTCTCTGGGTCCCTCACCATCCCAGAGGGAGACCAGGGTTTTCCAAGAATGCTCAAATTTATAAGTTACATTTCAGCATGCAGTTTTCCTCCTAAATTGTGACCATGAATGGCTTTGTACATAGAGTTGCATCATACCTGATCCGAATACAGACACACTGGGCACCAGATGGGGCCTGCTCCATCACTCAGTGACTCACTCTGCCCACAGCTTCGTAAAGATTAAAATCCATCCCTCAGCACAGTTGTCAATCCCCAGTGGACCATGGGACAATCTCAGATTTTCAACAGACCCGTGAATGATAATCCAGGAATCCCCAAGGTTTAGTGAGTATGTTTAAGGCCAAAACAAGAGAGGCAAATCATCAATGATGATATTACCAAGTCCCCTTCTGAACGACTTACCCACTCTGTCGCCTGCTTGCAAAACTCTGATATATATACCTACATCTAAGGCTGAAAAACAACCCCAGAGACTCTTGGCCTTCCTTCCAGCTTTCAGGACTCCTCACCAAAGAGCCTTTAGGTTCCATCAAATCACACACAGAGCATTTTACACCTTTCCCCAAAACTGGGCAAAGGGAGATCAGTTACTGTTAATTACAGATGCTTTCTGTCATAATGGGCCAGATTTTCAAAAGAGTCTCAACTGCACAGCTCCCAAATGCCTCTCACAAACCTGGTAATGGTCCATGCAAATTGAATACTTAGTGGGTCTGTGTGCATTCCGTTCCAGGGAATGCCTTTGAAAATTTAGCCCCATAACTCCAAAGCGTTTGTAGCATCGTAATCTGTCATCATTAGCAACAATGCTTGACTTGGTGCTCAACATTCTTATTAACCATGCAATTATGAATGCAGACAATGTTTAATCACTTTTACAAAAATACAGCTGTGTTGTTGGGGAACTGTCATTTACTGCTCATTAATGATTGATTTTTTTTAACCATCTAGATTGTTTTCATGAGAACAGCAGATTAACTATAAAGAATTCATTATTGGTCATTAAGGGATATTAAAATGGAAAACCTTTACAAGATGTGTCCTGTCTTGCTGCATTTGGATGCCTGGGACTCGCTTGCCAATGGAGGGGAGGAAACAAAATACCATTCTTCCAGAGCTCTGACAAGGAGATCCGGCTGAGGAGAGGTGGAGTGAAGAGAGAAATTAAGAAAAAACATCTCTTTTTGCTGTAATAAAACATTGATTACATTTTACAACGGCAATAATTTACCCCAAATAATTACTTCAGCTATTGTCCAGCTTGTTTAAAGGCTGACTGAGCTGTGGGTACCAATCGATTCAGTGCAGATTGCTAATAATGGGCTATTTTGAAAACTTATAGCTGTTTCTCCATCCCATACACCGGAAGACACTAATTCCTTTCCCACATTGCACACTTAATTAAAGATGAGTCAGGGCATTATTTTATGGCCAAACTTTCCTTAAACCTTGGACATAGAGAGCTGAGTTCTGCTTCCTCAAATGTCTCCTGGACATACTGTGATAAAATGTACTTTACCACTGGCCACCTACAAGGACAGTAAGTTTCAAAACCTGTGAAGACGTTGGAAAGATCGGACTTTGGAAGGCTCAATGTCATGCCCTCCCTGGATTTCCGGCTCTGACGCTCACCCACCACACTGGGGGGCTCTTTGTTTCCTCACTTGCTCAGCAGCTGCCAGGATCCTGGAAGACCTGACCTGCAAAAGAAGGTTTTTAATAAACACAACTCCTCTTTCTCCTGTTCTGGTTCACCCTTACACCAAGTCTCCAATGAAACTACCACCTTAGTTCTGGCAATACTATTTTAGATTTTTTTTTCCTGCTGACAAGTGTAATATAGATTTGTTTTGGAAAATACAGAAAAGCACAGAGAAGAAATTTAAAGCTATCTGTAGTCCCACACCCAGATATAACCACTGCTCACTTTTCTATTTGCTGCCAGTATTTGACCTGTGAGCATTTTTTATAGTGGCACGACCTGGGGTGAGTTACTTATCCTCTCTGTGTCCAGTTTCCTTCTCCGCAAAACAGGAAAATAATAGCACCTGCTTCATAATGTGATTGTGAAAATTAGTTATAATTAGCTATAATAATTCCATAAGTTGTTGGGTGAGAAATATTATATAGGAAAGAAACACATCATAGTTAACAAGTAAAACAATTTTTTTAACTTTTTTTTTAAATTTATTTGTCATATTTGGGGCACCTGGGTGGCTCAGTCAGTTGGGCATCCGACTTCAGCCTAGGTCATGATCTCACAGTTTGTGAGTTCAAGCCCCATGTCTAGCTCTGTGCTGGCAGCTCTGAGGCTGCCGCCTGCTTCAGATTCTGTGTTTTCCTCTCTCTCTCTGCTCCTCCCCTGTTCGTGCTCTTGCTCTCTCTCTCTCTCAAAAATAAGTAAACATTTAAAATTTTTTTTTAATTTATTTTTTATTTTTGAGAGAGAGTGAGGGAGAGAGGGAGAGAGGATGAGTGGGGGAAGGGCAGAAAGAGAAGGGAACAGAGGAACTGAAGCAGGCTCTGTGAGGACAGCAGAGGGCCCAGCGCAGGGCTCGAACTCACAAACCATGAGATCATGACTGGAGCTGAAGGCAGTCACTTAACTGACTGAGCCACAGGCACCCCATAAAATTTTTTTTTTTAAGTTTAGACTCCCAGCTGATGCTGCAGACCCAGGGAACCACACTTGGAGAACCACTGCTTTCAGTTAATTATAATGAGAAAAAAAAAACAACCACAAAGGTGAAAAACACTAAAGAGGGATGGAAGCATATTTGGTTTAGTGAGCTTCCCTTGGGGGGATAGTTTTGGAGGGATTTGAGAGGGGTGCTGTGCTACAAAATACGATGTGGTAAGTGGCAATGATGGCTTACATTAGCTAAAAGAATCGTAAGGGAATGCTGACCCATCACTTTGCCACTTGACCTTGATCTGAGTCATTGCTAGGTAGTAAATCTTTTAGTTACATACCCACACAGTCTTCCCCAGTATAATCCAGCATCACACTTGGAAGGAATCGCCAGAAACTGAAAACCCACACCTGGGAAAAGCAGCTTTGCAAATGCCTTGTGCCTGGCTAGGCGTCCGGGACAACTGAGACCATGTGGGGATCTCCTGGACTTTGCCATCACTCCAAAGCATCCAAGGAATGGAGAAAAACAAAGTCAACATGAATAACTGTGCATTTTATTATATTTGTTTTGAGGTTTACTTGTTTATTTTTTGAGAGTAGGGGAGGGAATAGAGAGAGGAGAGAGAGACTCCCAAGCAGGATCCATGCTTGGTGCAGAGCCTGATGCAGGGCTCGATCCCACGAATCATGAGATCATGACCCGAGCTGAAATCAAGAGTCACACTTAATCAACTACTGAGCCACCCAGGCACCCCAATATTCGTGCATTTGAGACAGCATCATACTATGCCTGCCATTTTATATTCAGCTTTTTCTCTACATAATATGAGCATTTTCCCGTTTTCTTTAAACTTTCTAAATTTGTATCATAACATCCCACCTTATGGATATGTCATGACCGTTAACTAACCACTTTCGCTGGGTGTTTTTACTTCTTTAATTTTCTCTCATAAATAACTCTGTGCTTACTTTTTATTTATGCTTTATCTTTTATTCCCTTCATGAATATTATCAAAAATTCTCTGCTTCAGAAGTCTGTGCCTTAAGAACAAAATGTTTAGAACCAGAGCACCAGAGTTTACAAATTATATTAGAAATTCTAGAGTCACTACTATCAGTTTTCCAATACCTGTTGTCCAACAAAAGTAAAAACTAGCAGACGTCCTTTGTTGAAAAAGCCATACAATTGCCTATCACACGACACTTTAAAGCGCTGGTCTCAAAGATGTTGCAGCATCAAAAGTAACTCTACAAAATAATTTGACTATTTCCACAATAAATTTTCGTTTTCAAGATAATGATGTGTTGCCTTATAAGACTGATTATTCTGGTTCCTGATACATAAAAAGGATAAGCCAACATTTTGAATCAATAAATGAATGGATCCCAAACATCTACTGATTAATATAAACAGACGTCACTCTTTTTTTTTTCTTTCTTTTTTTCTTTTGTTTTTTTTTTTTTTTTTTTTGAGAGAGAGCATAAACAGGGGAGAAGGAGAGAGAAGGAGACAGAAAATCCAAAGTGGGCTCTGCGCTGACAGCAAAGAGCCCGATGTGGGACTTGAACTCACGAACCTTAAGATCATGACCTGAGCCTACTCGGACACTCAATCGACTGAGCCACCCAGGTGTCCCAGAAGCCACTGTTAATATTAGTTAAATATCATAGTAATAGAATAGAAATAACAAAAAAAAATTCATCTCCTTGGGTAACATACACATTGCTGTAGTCTATTTGTTTTCATATTTTTACTGTGGTCAGGATAAACATAAACTAATAAGGTATAGTTAGTCCCTTGAGGTGAAAACAGAAGATGTGAATATTAACACACATAGCCATCATATTGAGACAGTGTATAATAAGACTATCAGCTCCAACTCTTTCTTCATGATGGCACATAGACTGCTAAACCATGGGTGATTTATAATAAAAGAATCTCCTCTCATTAAACAATGCTGCAAAGGGGGGCTATGCTTTCCATTGGTAGGTTTCAACTCTTCCTGCATTCCTGGAAAGCTTTTAAAGTTTATTTATTTATTTTGAGAGAGAGAGAGAGAGAGAGAGAGAGAGAGAGCGAGCAGGGGAGGGAGAGAGAAACAATCCAGGCAGGCTCTGTGCCGTCAGCCAGATGCAGGGCTCGATCTCACAAGTGTGAGATCATGACCTAAGCCAAAATCGGAAGTCAGACACTTAACCGACTGAGCCAGGTGCCCCTTGGGAAGCTTTTAAAAAGGCGGATCTTGGGGCACCTGGGTGGCTCAGTCGGTTAAGCGTCCGACTTCAGCTCAGGTCACGATCTCGCGGTCCGTGAGTTCGAGCCCTGCATCAGGCTCTGGGCTGATGGCTCAGAGCCTGGAGCCTGCTTCTGATTCTGTGTCTCCCTCTCTCTCTGACCCTCCCCCGTTCATGCTCTGTCTCTCTCTGTCTCAAAAATAAATAAACTTAAAAAAAATTAAAAAAAAAATAAAATAAAAAAATAAAAAGGCAGATCTTGTTAGAATTACCTGGGGAGCTTTCAACACTTATTTTGCCCAGGTTTCATCCCAAAATGGAATCACCAGGGTTGGGACACTGGCACTGGGACCTCATACAAGGTCTTCCATTGATTCTAATGTATCACCACAGTTGGGAAGAACTGCTTCAGAAGATGCAGGTGACCATTACAACATAACTTCAGGCATCCTATGACTTCAACTACCTCAGAAAGTCCCCCAGGTATCACTTGACTATGTAGACAAACTCATTCAGGCATTGATTACCTCTGTCAGCACTAGAAGTAGTACATCTCTCCAGAGGCCATAAATAAATATGGTCACGTTGCAAACCTGTGGAATAATATGGGGAAAAGTAATGAAATGCCACACTAGAGTAATTGATGGGCAATCCTGCACCAACATGTCACTGGGATATACTGGAAAGATGGTACCAGTTATTTCGGATTGTCAACATCTTTTTATAGGAACTACTAAAAAGGGAACAGATGCATTTGCCTTTAGATTGATAACACCCTTAAGTGGCAACAAAATCTCCTCTGGGCTCATTTGGACCCATTATCTCTGAGGACTTCTGTGACATAAATTGTACCTTATCCTCAGAAAGACACCATCCCTGAAGCCTACTAGCTCATTCCACTGAGAGTCGAATAAACTGGCAGAGTCAGAACAATCTGTTCAAATTCCATAACTGAATAATGAAGGAACTTTGATCTTACAGTGACTTGTTAGCTAAGTTACTTTATTACCACTGTGTGTGTGTGTGTGTGTGTGTGTGTGTGTGTGTGTGTGGCTATACATATAAATAATAACAATGCAAGGCAAGCAGTTAGCAGAAAGAAATACTGTTATGCCAGGCGAGATTCTTGTACAGGGTCTTTTAACTAAATAGATCCTTGACTCTAGACAAATACTCAGTCTCTTTTGGTCTCATTTTTCTGAACTGTAAGCCATAAATAAGACTAGGTAACTTCTACGGTGCCTTCAAATTTCAAACTTCTGTGAAAGTTCATTATTTCCCTAAAAATGACCTTTGTGTAGTATGGGTACCTGGTAGATCTAGAAATCTAAGGATTGCACAACCATGAATCCAAAGGCCACAGCCCTGCAGCTGTTCCTAGGAAATGACGTAATGGCGTAAATGCAGGGATGGTGATACGTCTTAAGCTACTGAACTGTGATTTTACAAACAGATTATTCAGGAACATAGTCATTACAGTGTGAGCTCTAACCCTTTGGAAAATGTTTTTCTTCACAAATGTTTCTGTTTGTACTTATTCAGGAATTGACCAAGATGGAAATTTCACTTGGGAACCACCTCACACCATAAATTAGTTACTTACAGAAACTGTATTAATGTTTCAAAGCATTAATAGTAGAAAAGCCTATTGGCTAATTAAATGGCAGAAGATACACTACATCAAATCTGTTCTTGCAGATTTCCAGGGGGACCAAGACCCACTTCCAAACTCAATGAATAGATTATGGAAAGAAGGTATTTTCTTCCATAAAATTAGGCTTACATCTCTTTATGGGACTGAAACTGGCATTGTCATAAGAATGGAGATCGACTGTGGCCCATCCACAAACAGTAACTCCTGGGTTTAAGACCTTATGATGTCTCAGAGAAAGATGCACACAAAACTTTGAGGGGACTATTTAAGCTCTGTCTGCAAAGCCTTCAAACAACAGAGCTCATAATGGAAACCATGACAGACTTTTAAGACTTTTAATGATGGAAACATCAGCAGACTCTGTAACAATATTATAAATCATTTCTAAATAACAGTATTGATAAGATGAGCCTTTCAAAACCACCCACGACACCTCTTTAACAGCTAATTAAAACTAGGGAGAAGAGGCAGTTCTTTTATCCTTCACAACACTGTAGCTCTGATCATCCCATAGTGAATGATTTTACTTCAGTAATAACCCTGATCCGACATTCAGTTAGCAATTACCACAACAGACTTTATCTACTGGTAACAACTGGTTCGGAAGATATTGCCCTGCATGCATTAATTTCATCATGCTAATAAAGTTCCCTGTTATAAAACGCAAAAACATATTAACCTGTCTAATGCAATAAGAGAAACATATATATCTTTCTGGCAAAATGATGATACACCAGCACTTCATTTCTATTTCAAAACTTAAGTGGGTAAAGTATATTAGAGGAACAGAAAGTAACAAGCTATAATCTGCAGTGAACACAATGACATGACTAAGTGCCAACAAATTTTCCTGTGAGTAATTGCACTTACCGTAATTTATACACATTCTATTACCTTGGTGTTTGCATAACAATGCAAAACTGCTCCTTTCCAAACACTGAGCACCGTAATAGCAGAAGCATATGCATCTGGTCTTTTCCATGGAATTCAGGGAGGCCACTGCTGATTCCAGTTAACTCCCTTGGAGCACCTAGCAAGCATGGACTGACGGAAACATTTAATAAAGATGGAGACGTGACTAATGATGACAAGCTAGTATCCCCAGGGGAAGATCCGTGGCATACAGCAAGCAGTCTGTAAAGGTGTGTTGAATGAAGAAGAGCTCTATTGTCTGGCCCAGGAACAATATGCATTCTGTTTATGGTTCTAGAATCTGTCCTGGATATACCTGTTTCCCCTCCACCCTCTCCCTCCCCTACTGAGGTTGCCCAAAGACCATCTCTATTCCTAAGCGAGAAATTCAAAGCAGGGGATGCATCAGTTTCGCCTGACTGGTACCAATAAGCCCACCGTCAGTAACTTCCTGTCCTAATATTTATGATATGACACATTACCCCTGCTGGGAATACTCAGCATTTGACCTGCTCTATTTCTCCTATTCCAACCCTAGCTTCCCCCAATGGCTTGTTCACCTTTCAAAATTTTAAATGTGAAAGATGACACGATTGTTACAATCCCAGGGGAAAAAATCAATCATGTGATTAAAGCCAATATATGTGACATGTTGCTCTCTTGACTCCAAGGACTCATCCACTCTTTATTCAAGCCATGGCTTGACTTTCTACAGGAGATGGTTTCATTGCTGGTCTGGTCAACCTAGGGAAGCCCAATCATCATATTGCAGTGAAAAAAACAAGAAAAGCAGAGCAGAGCAGAGCAGAGCAGAGAAAAGAAAAGAAAAGAAAAGAAAAGAAAAGAAAAGAAAAGAAAAGAAAAGAAAAGAAAGAGAAGAGAGGAGAGGAGAGGAGAAAAAAGGAAAAAGAAAAAAGAAAAGAAAAAAAAAGGAAAGGAAAGGAAAGGAGAGTGTCTGTGACTCAACGAAGCCTGAAACAAAATAAATACATTGTCTTCTTCTATAGTTGAAGCAGAGTGGTCACACACCCCACTGTCAGGGGCAGCTGAACTCATCTGCACACAGAGCACCTGGGCCCTGCCCTGGGACACTGATCAAAGGAGAGGACTGAACAAGCTATATAGCCTGTTCCTTTTCAGTGACTGAGGGTTGATCCACGCCGTCCAGGCAGGAGTGCTCAGCTCTCTCTCTCTCTTGGGAAATGTGGCATTCTCACATACAATCTAGCACTGGCTGGAGGCCTAGCAGACAGGCAGAGGAATGTAGACAATTTATAGGCTGAAAATGTGCACACAGGCAGCAGCACTGAGTTCACTCAGGAAGCATATGTGCTGTGGCCACACGGAGGGAGGCCTAGGTGGGACCCCCAGAGCTTGGCAGAAACTCTAGCAGGGACCCAGTGTGGAGCTGTAAACCTGGTGACGAGCACTCTGTACTGGTCTTAAAAAGATGGTGAAAACATAGGCGCTTTAAGGCTGCAGTGTCGGGACAGAGGGAGGCCACTCGGAAAGCTGACTCTCACAGAGAATCATTTCTAGGCTTCCAGAATGTACCCCAAATAAGCCAGAGGTGAGCTACCCCTTCAGCCCCAAGAGGCAGCTGTGTCCACAAGGCATAATCTTCTGGAGAGATCCATGGCTCTGAAGAGGAGCACACTGATTTGATGACTATTTTCTGTTGCTGTTGTTTTCAGTCCGAAACGCTAGCCAAGATACCTCTTTAAAATCTACAGTTTAAAAAAAAAAAAAATTCATCCAGCCAAAATTTCCAATGTCATTAAATCTCATATCCTCCATTAATTGCAGGGTCACACACAGAAAGCAACAAGTGAAAAGGCGGAAGAAGAGGTAGAGGTGGAGGAGCCCAGGAGACAAGGCACCAACTGTACGTGGCAACTGAGGACAACAAACTTTATTGACTCGGCCCCACACACACTTAGCCTGCGTGCGGGGCTTTTAGAGCACTTTCATTCTGGAATCCATTTCCAGAGTTTACGGCTTCCACGGTTTTATGTTCCTTCCCCACAGCTTTCTTCACCTATTAATATGCATCATGGTTTCTCTTCTCTGAAAGGTGGTTCTTGGGAAATGTTTATATAATACACATGTAGCTTGAAGGAGGACTTTTCAGCAGATTTGGGTGAGACTTTTGCCCTGTGGTTTTAGAGTGTGTGTGTGTGTGTGTGTGTGTGTGTGTGTGTGTGAGAGAGAGAGAGAGAGAGAGAGAGAGATAAATCATGAGCCGATTCTAACAGTTCTGCCTGTCCGCTCTACTCAGTCTAAAGACAGAAAAGAGAGAGATAAATACTCAAACTGTAATTCTCATTTCAAACAGGGCAATCTATTGCTTGTCTTGTGATTTCAGAATAGACTAGTGGCCTGAAATTGTAGCCCACTGACACTTAATTTGCCTGAAGTGCATCCTATAGTGACACCAAAAAAAACCCCAAAACACCAACACACACACACACACACACACACACACACACAGAGAGACAGAGAGAGAGAGAGAGAGAGAGAGAGAGAGAGAAACAACACACAAAGAAACAAACAAAAACAAAAACAAAAGGCCAGCAAAATAACAACAAAAAACTCTCAAGTCAACTGTCTGTAATTATAATAGTCATTTTCTTTCCTGATATCTCCAAGCTTATTCCTCCAATTTGCCATCTGACAACTCAACTACCATCATCACATGGGAATTCTGACAACCCAAGGAAGCAAATGCTGTCACTCTGACTTGATGTTCAGAGACTGTTTGTCAATTAGTATGACCTCCGGGTCTCAGCTAGGAAGAGACCCTGGTCTTTCCCAGAATAGCATTGGAGTTCATCTTCTAATTGTGTTCTGTGATTTTCGTCTGGCACAAGGCTTACTACCACATTCCAGAATCTGCCTATCTCCAAAGAAACATTGCTACCTTTCCATGCTCAGACATCCACTATACAGATCAAACCAACTCTAAAGAGTAGTACCTTTTTAAGAGAACAGGTAAGACTTGAGGTCAGCACAAGTGCTTTACTGACCAAGAATTATTTTCAATGCTCTGCTGGGTTTTCTGAGTCATCTCAGTGAACTTTCTGGAATTATATGCCTCTCAAGGACCATCGAGTGCCATAACATACATACATACATACGCACACACATAGGTATACATATTTTGCGAAGTCAGAATAACATTTTCTTCCTGCCTCTCCTTTTTTTTACTTGTTTATTTATTTTGAAAGAGAGAGAGAGAGAGATCTCACATGTGTGCGTGTGAGCAGGGGAGGGGCAGAGAGAGAGAGAGAGAGAGTCCAAGCAGGCTGTGCGCTGTCAGCACAGAGCCCAACACGGGGCTGATCCTACAAACCACGAGATCATGACCTGAGCCAAAACAAAGAGTCAGGTGCTTAACTGAGCCACCCAGGTGTGCCCCCTGCCTCTTCTACTACATAAAGCACTTGGCAATATGTATTTTCTGTAGAATACTTTTTTACAATAATAAGAAGGGGGCAGTACTAATCATGGCTAATATTCTTCAAGTTCTTCTAATGTACCAGGTGTGCTAAGCATTCTCCCACATGCACAATCTCATTTGATCTTTAAAACACCTCCATATAGGAGGTACTATTAAACTCATATTCTTCTGCCTCTAGTATCCGGGCTCCTAATTGCTATGGGCCAGGGCACAACAGTAGAACTACCGGCCTCAGCTTTGACTAAAAACAAAACAAAACAAAACAAAACAAAACAAAACAACAAAAAAAAACCCCTGCATAACATAAATATGTATGTCATAAGTATGTATGTACATACCATAATTATGTAATTATAATCTTATGATACTTACATATAATCCAGCTAAAAATATAAAATATAAGTTTATAATCATAAGTATGACATATATTTAGACAGTATGAACATTTTTAACTCCACAAGTTTTTCCACTTCTCCAGCATAATATATAATCATCATTTGTGAATTAAAACTTAATTGAGCACACCACTACTGGCAAATAACAAAATACTCAAAACTTACATCAACTCTGCCTCCCCCCTATTATTAAGACAGAAGCTGTTTAAGCATTCTTATTCTGGCAATTAAAGACAAGTGTGTTTTCTAAAGTGAAGGTTATGTTGACTTTGATAAGTATATTGCTCACTGTCTGACCATAAAGGGCCAGCGCTGGAGATAAATAGCAGAATACTTTGTCCTTCACTTCAGGCATGATGGCTGGACCTCCCTGGCTGTAAATTTCCCAATATTTGATGGCCCCGGTGTCAGCAGCAAAATGATGCATAATAAACACAACAATACATTATATGCCACTTCTTGATTTGGTGCCAAGTCAGGGAAGGAAACAGTCTACTTTTCAATGGGTTTTCTGAAATAATACAGAGACAGTGTGTTTTGGAGAGATCTGAAGAGGAAAACTGACGCTCGGTTTTCATCCCCGGTCTCCGAACTAGCCTTTGAAATTGACAATCTGAAGCATCACGAACCGTGGTTCCACCATAGTTGGGGTGGTATCAGGAAGGCCAGGGTACACAGACTTTCATCTAGCCAGGAAAAAGCAAACAGAGCTCATTTTGAACTAGAGAGAAAAAAGATATTTGATGAATGCCAGAGGAGCAAGCTGCCTAAATCCTTTAACAAAGAAGAGACAAAGGGGAGCGGGTTTGTGAAATTATGTGCAGAGCTACAACGAATGTTTTGATCAAGTTTTTAATTGTTTCATTTTATCCAGAATATTTCTTGCAAAGTCTAAAATCTTGCTTTAGAGCTAAAAGAGAAAACAACATTTGAAGGGCGGCCTCTGTGAAATAGTATCACTGAGTCACCAAGGAAATTTTAAGTTACAGAGAGGGAACAATGTGAGGGTTGCACATACACCTTTGCCTGGGACTGCTGTCTCCCTGCCTGCAAACAGATCACAGGCTTCTAGTGTTAGCGGGAACCTGAGAAGTCACTGAGTCTACCTCTGACATTTCATAGATGACAGGCTTAAACTTGGTAAGTGACTTACCCAAGGTCATGCGTGGAGTTATTTCCGTTTTATTGTCCGAATAACAAATGGGAAGTGGACACTGGAGATCATGTGGCAATTTACCCAAGGCCTTCCTGTAAAGAAAATGGTGGTAATAACAGTTCCTGAATTCACTTATGCACCAAAGCATGTCATCAGACATCCAAGAAAAGTAGACACACAACATCTCCTAAGGCAAGAATTATTTTTTAAAACTCAGACATTCAGCCAGGTATACCTGATTCACTGAGTGTCAGTTCTGGGTTGCCCACTCAGTTGTTCTTTCCAGAAAGGATAGTGAAAAAAAAAGTCTAGGAATTTTTCTCAGGGAGCAGCCACAAAGCCAAACATCTGGACGCCTCTTTCATTTCGATCTCATGTCAAGCCTTCAAGTACAGAAGTACTTACATGTCAATCACCTCTATTCTTACTGGCAAACCCCAATGGATAGAGCCTCTGCAATAGAGAAATATGAATATTTTCCAGCCTCTTCATCCTCTACCCTCTTATCCCAGGAGCTCAAAATGACCCTACACTTTTCTGGAAAAATCAGAAATGAAAATCCCTGAGTTGTCTGCCTTTTCCTCATCTCATTATCCCAGAATCGGGGCCACATCTGAAACTTCCAGATGATATCCACCCAATCCTGGAGACCTGCTCCAGTTCACAAGATGGTCTTCCCAAGGCCACTCTCCATCTGAAAGGTCCCATGGAAGATGGCATAGACTCCTGCCAGTGGCTACACATATTCTCTTCAATATTAAACTCTCACCCAGAAAACATTAAGGTGGGCATGCAAAATGGCAAAAAGGCTCCTTCTCATACCCAAGCTTCCCCAAACCCTCACTTACATGATCGTAACTTCTCCATAAAACAGTGAGAGTTCGGGAGAGTAATCTTTCTTCCCAAGGCCAAGCTCACTATGACCTGGTATCCAGGAACAGCCCACAATTACTGATTACTGTGGGCTGGTCCTAATCACTGTCTTTACCAGTATTTATTCACACTTTCCAAAACTGAAGCCTGGAGTTAACCAGCCAACATCCAAACTTCTCTCCAGCCTACTTCCCTTCTTGGCTCCTGTATGATCCTACCTGCACTAAAGATTCACACTTCGAAATAGTGTGGTTCCTGAGATAAATCAACATTTTTTCTTTCTTTTTCCACATCCTTCTTGATGCTCACTGCATGAAAATAACAGGATGTAGGAAGAACATCAAACAAAGAGTGATATTCACCAAGAGCGATCCTGGGCGTGTGTAATGGACACAGAGGAGTCATCCGCTCCTGATTTTCCTTCATAGGTGGGCATGTGTGGCATCTCGTGTGTGTGCAAGCAGCAGCCTTGCATCTTTGTTAGCTCCAGAAGCCGGAGTGTATCACTTTCCAAAGGGCAGTCTCCTAGAGCTTGTCTGCATCAAGATCAAGATCCCTCCCATCAACAACAAGATCCCTCCCTCAAAGCCTGCCCCTGATTCTCATAAGCATGAGGGACAAAAAACAAAAGGAAAATACTGTTTTCTGCTAACATAGTTTGAGTCATCCTTCATACATGGGGTGCCCAGTTAAGTGTTCAGCACTGATCAGACCTTAGGGACACCTAAGAATGAACGAGTTCCAGCCCTGCCCTTATAGATTGTAACAATCCAAAGAGCAGGATTTAGACAAATGCACATAAGACTAGATACAAATTCATAAACCAACATCCAAATGAATAAACAAAGGGCCATTATAGAGTGAAATGACTTCTTTTTTTTTTTAATTTGTTTAACATTTATTCATTTTTTGATAGAGACAGACAGAGCGTGAGTGGGGAAGGGGCAGAGACAGAGAGAGACACAGAATCCGAAGCAGGTTCCCGGCTCCAAGCTGTCAGCACAGAGCCCGATGCGGGGCTCGAACTCACGAACCATGAGATCATGACCTGAGCTGAAGTCAGACGCCCAACCAACTGAGCCACCCCAGGCACCCCGTGAAATGACTTCTTTTTTTTCTTTAAATCAATATCCCAAAAGAATATTACCTCTTCCAAAACACTCACTGCAGTGCATTCCAATTACTTTTCTGTTGCTCACAAGTTTTGAAACCTATTTGCAACTGCTTTTGAGCAGGTACATAACAGAGAGGGAAAGTAGGGGTATCTGGGTGGCTCAGTTGGTTGAGGGTGCAACTCTTGATTTCGGCTCAGGTCATGATCTTCATGAGTTCTCAAGTTTAAGCCTCGCATTGTCTCCACGCTGAATATGGAGCCTGCTTGGGATTCTCTCTCTCTGCCCTTCCCCCACTCACCCTCACAAGAATGTGTGCACGTACTCCCTCTTTCTCTCTCTAAACAAATAAACATTAAAAAAAAAAAAAACAAAGGGGGAACATAGGAGTGTAGAATAGAGAAGTACTCTTCCCTAACATTGCTTAGAATTGCACATTTGCAGTGACAACAAAAAACAGACTACATCTTGGTGGGTTCTATTGTTTTTAAATGTTCTATAAACAGACCCCCTCTTATTGCCTTATGGCCAGCACCCTGGGTGAACTGCCTCCATAAGCCACACTCCCACCCCTAGTCTTTGTTCACCACTGCTTCTGAAGGTCCATTCATGCCAACTGCTCAGTGGGGTACAATCTCTTCTTCTCAGTGGCTACAATCAGTCAACTCTAATGAAGAACATAGAGGATGAAGCCGGGTGACACTGCCATAGGGCAGAGAGCAAATATGGCTTTACATGGATACTGTGGTTGTCCCCTGAAAGCAATTTTTACCAGGAGAAGCACTGAAGTGTTTTGAGCAAATTCAGAATTACTAGAATCTGTGTGCAATCTACTCAATCCAGACAGACTATGAACAAACAACCCCACCGTCTCAGTGGTGCAAGGCAACAAAAGCTGGTTTCTCACTCATGCTCCATTTTTCACATGGATTATAAGAGGGATCCTGCTCACTGTAGTATCTCATGTGCCCAGATTGACACAAGCTCCATTGCAACCTGTGCTTTCACTCATGCTGGCCATGAGAACGGAAACTTCTAAAGCTTCCTCTGGAAGTGAGACAAGTCACTTCTGATCACATGTCACTGTCCACAGCAAATCACCTGGAATGCCTAACTTCCAAGGGGTAACAAGGGTATAATGCTGGAGGTTCCAGGGAGGAACGTCAGGATATTGGTGGAAGGATGTAAGTCTGCACCCACCCTGGGTGATCATTGTTTGACGACGACAAGATGCACTCAGCCTTATAAACTTTGGAAAGTTAGTGTTCACAGAACCACCCTCACTATTACGTGCTTATCTGTGTTGGATTTCTCTACATTGCAGAGCTATGACACAGTTGAGATGTCATCATAATGTCAGTAGGCCACCTGTGAAGTGCAGAGCAGATTTGTGTCGGGCATCAGTATGACTGACAGTGGGTGGAGCGTGGCATAAAATCACAGTGCAGACAGCTGACATTCCAGGAAACTCCTCCGTGCCAGGCAAAGCCCTAGACGCTGTACTCTTGGTACCTCATTTACTCATCCCATTCCCCTGTAAGGTAGGTATCATTATCCTCATTTAACAAAGGAGAAAAATGGATACTTAGCTTAAAATACACTGTGCCAACCCACATCATGGGGGATAGGTGGTGGGGTCAATGTTCAAATTCAGGCCTGCCTGATTCCAGAACCCTCAGAGTAAGCCACAGGAAGTTCAACCCATACCAATTCCCTTATTATTTTATCTGTATCCATTTTATGGTCTTTCCAATTAGGTAATAGATTTTTTTTAAATGTTTATTTATTTTGAGAGAGAGAGAGAGAGAGAGAGTGCACAAGCCAGAGAGGGAGAGAGAGAGAGAATCCCAAGCAGGCTCTGCACTGTCAGCCAAGAACCTGACATGGGGCTCAAATCCACAAGCCATGAGATCGTGACCTGAGCCAAAACCAAGAGTCAGAAGCTTAACCTACTGAGCCACCAGGAAATTAATTTTTAAAGGAAAATCTGCTAAGCTATTAAGAACAGGAATTTAGCTTCATTCACCTTTTAATGTCCTGCAAGGACTAGCAAATACTCCTGCACATGGTAGGTGCTCAAGAAAATACTGGTTGTTAAATGCCTGTTGAAAGTCAAGGTTATTCCCCAAAGCAATATCCCCTTTCCTTTCTCCTGCCCAGCACATAAAAGGAGATTGACAAGAAGAAATGTTTCCTGACTGACTCTCAAAAAAAGGCAAAGTTGTCAACATTTTCCCTTATCAAGAATGTTCTCTACATGAGAAAATAGAGAGCAGCTTCTGCAATACAGACCTGAATGGGAAGATAATGGTCAGCAGGGCTCCCAGAGCTACCCGTGTTCCCACTCCGAACAAGCTCTTAACAAGAACACGCCTGCCAGGGAAACAGAGAGAAACTCATTTTGCGAGGAGACAACACACAGCTGCACAGTTCCATATTCCACTTAATCCCACAGATAAATTCACAAGTTGTCCTAAACATATCACTCTACCGGGGAATTTTTTTTCCCCTATTTCTAGCCGGTGTTGGACGTTTGATGTATCACAAATAATTCATCTCTCCACACCCCCCCCGCCAGACACATACGGGCACAACCTTCTGGCGGTAAAAGGTTACACTTATGCCCCCCCCCACACACACACACACAACCTTCTGTCTTTAAAAGGTTACACTTATTCTGAGTCTCCTTTAAAATCTCTACACAGGACCCTGGAGGTCACAACACAGACTGTTTCTTCACAATGGCACTGGGATTTTCTCCCATGATGAGGGATGGCTCCTGTCACAGCTGCTTCCCAGAATCCTTCCTAAGCCTTTTATTTTTTAAGCACATGAGCCCTGCTTTTAATTGGGCATTTCATTAGAGAAGAATGAGGCATAAAGGAAAACAAAATGGTCTGTAGTCATTTGTTTTGAGGAGATCATTCTAGTCATCAACATCTGAACCCTGCTGAAGAACAGTTTCAATTTCCCTTCTCAAGCACGGGGAATGCAATGTTGACAACACATATTTCTCTCTGTCAAAACATTTCACTGACTCGGCAATCTGTAGACAGTTTGAGAGTCGTATCGCCAGCAAGCGGTGCCATAGCGTTCTCCCCATTATTTTAAAATCCTAATGGCACGTGCTTCATGAGAGGGGCACAGTGCGGGCCAAGATCCAAATTGAAAAGAAAAATGCTAAGCGAGTCAGTGAGCAGAGAGGGCACTGTCAATAATGGGCCTCATTACTGAGCCACAGAGAAAGATGGGGCCATTGGCATCCCGGTTCCTCTGGAGAGGCCGGCCCCATTGCCCTTGGAGTCAAGTCTCCTGAGGAGGGTCACTCAGGGAATTCTGTGAGCTCTGCGCTCAGAAGAAGAAGTGGGCTCAGGCTCACAAATGAGAAATGGATTTCATACCACGGGACCTAATTCAATTGTTACCTTTGGCTGAGGGTGGGAAGAAGAAACGAAAGAATTGTATTCAAGTACAATAAGAGGCCGGCTCTGTGTGTGTGTGTGTGTGTGTGTGTGTGTGTGTGTGTGTGTGTGTGTTCCTGACACAGAAAAAGGCAAGCAACAGGCACCTAAATTAGACTTATACTGACAAAACTCCTTATGGCCCCCTAGAAAGATAACAACTATGGTGGGATCTCCTCACAAAGGTTCATTACACCTTTAAGAGATAATGTTCAAGGAAATGGAAATGTGCTGCCCAGATAATGGCCTTGGGCTGTGAGGCAGATACCTCAGGGCTTCAAGGCCGTGGCTTTGGCAGAAAACAAATCCTGAAGCAAAGCTGAGCCTTTCTTGTCAAGGCCAAAGAACACTTATCAGTCACGAGGTTCAGACTCCTGAAAGAAATGCCTTCCAAAAAAGGCAAAGACAGTCAGTAAAGTGCCCTGCAAGCAACGCGCAGGCTTACCAATGGGCGGCCACATCTATCCCCAGGTTCTCAAGGGAGAAGACCGTTTACCCATTATTGTCAACTGGCTGGTTTAGTAAAATTGCTCAGACCTCCCACCATTCACCTCCGGCCTTTCAACATAGTTTGCTGGCTTTTGCTAAACCTATTGTCATCCTTTTCTAAAAGGTCAATGAGACCGTGTGTTGACTTGACAGTAGCAAGTACTTTTGCCGTGATCCCTGATAATATTAGTCTGGCTATGTTTCACAGGAAGTGTGCAGTTTGTCTTTCTTATAAAAATTCCTTGATTCGTCAAGCTGGTACCACCTGTTATCACTTTAATAGAGATCCCTGCATAACTTCAAAATATCCTACTCCCTCCAAAATTACCCTGATGCTCAAAACTGTCTGGCGCTCTGAAATGTGCTTCTTGCTTCTGTCTCTTATCTGGATGGGTTAATTAACTTCACCCAGCATGCTGTTAAGCTGCGCTACCAGCCAGGCGTCTAGCTTTACCACAGCAGTCCCCTTCCGCCATGTTCCTACAGAGA